TGTTGTTGTTGGTGGTGGTGGTGGTTGGTGTTGGTGTTGGTGTCGTTGTTGTTGCTGTTGTTGTTGTTGTTGTTGTTGTTGTTGTTGTTGTTGGTGGTGGTGGTGGTGGTGGTGGTGGTGGTGTTGGTGTTGATGTTGATGTTGGTGTTGGTGTTGGTGTTGGTGTTGGTGTTGGTGTTGGTGTTGTTGTTGTTGTCGTTGTCGTCGTCGTCGTGGTTGTTGTTGTTGTTGGTGGTGGTGGTGGTGGTGCTGGTGGTGCTGGTGGTGGTGGTAGTTAAACGAAGAGCTCGCTTTCGTGCTGACCGTCCCGACCCGACTTCCTTGCAAGTCGATATTTGTTGTGCAGGTGGTGTTCGAGGTCAAGCGCAAGAAGGAAGTGGCTAGGCTTGTCCTGCTTTTCTGTGCGGGGTCAAGGGTGGTCGACCTCGGCGACCGTAATCTCGCATCGCCGTGAGGTGTATCCAAACCCCAAAGCTGTATACAGCAAAAGCTCGAATGTGGCAGCGCATCACTTGAAGCGCAGATTGCCATCCAGACTGCATAAACGAGGGACGCGAAGCAAGTGATCCTCGAGTCTTCCTCAACTGATAGCCAAGGCGAGGGGTGCCGCCAGCAGCACCAGCGGGGCCAGCGGGGCAGCGAGGCTGCCCCATCCTCTTATTGTTTGAGACATACTCGTACTTTCAGTTGGAGAAAGTACGCTGGAATCTGTTACCAGGAAGTTTCGTTCGGTGGAATGAGCAGCAACTCACTCTCGTCGCCCTTGCTTCGTCCCGGAGTCAGAGAAAACAAACTCTAAATCCCAAACCTTAAAACCTTAAACCTTAAACAGCCTTAAACCCTAAACCCTAAAGCTTAAGCTTGAACCCTAAACCGTTCGTGGACGTTTCTTCGTGATCTTCGCTTTTCAGGCCTGGGCTTGCCGTGTGCCGGATCCCGTGTTTCACTAGTGCCAAGCGCAAGAGGAGCAGCATGAAGCATAAGATAGGGGCCGTAGTACTAATTTGAAAAGGGTTTTTGCGGTATCTCATACTAGAACTATAAGAAAGAACCCCCAAAACCAAACCAAAACCCTATTCTAAGTAGTCAGGCCCCACGTTACAGCGTTTACTTTCAGGCTGATGTCACGCCCTAAACCCTAAACCCTAAACCCCAAACCCCTAAACCCTCAACCCCTAAACCCTAAACCCTAAATCCTAAACCCCCAAACCATAAACTCTAAACCCCAAACCCTTCCCCCAGCAGGCCGCCACCCGGTCCCGCACCCGGCACCCGCTCTGGGCCGAGCTTCGATGCAGAGAAGGCGGAGAGCCTTGGGGGGCCCTAATATAGGGTTGCTTTAAGGGTTCCTCTTTAAGGGTTTCTTTAAGGGTTCCTTTAAGGCTTGCTTTTAAGGTTCCTTTAAGGGTTCCTTTAAGGGTGCGCAACTCCGACATCCGACAACTCAGGACGTGGTGGCGGGCATGAGTCCCGTAACTTCAGCTGTTTCTGGCAGTGCCAAATGCCCCAAACTTTGCTTCCAGCAGAACCTTTATGAACACCTCCGCGCGGTCAGTCAGTTGTTGTTTGAGGCCAAGAGGTTTAGCGGTTGAGTTCTTGGAACAGGCTGTTTTGATGATGTCGAATGCTGCATTAAGTTCGCGGTGGGGATTGTTTCTGCCACTTTCCGCAATGTCTAACGTGTATTTTTCTCTTGTGGCTTGTTGCCTGCTTTGTTAATGGTACCATTACCAGTATGACAGGCGACGACGACGAAGGCAGGGGTATTACTACAGACGGTGCTACAAGTACTACGAGTTCTACTAGTGCCACAAGTACTAGTATTGCTCGTACTGCTAGTGCCACGAGCACTGCTGCTGCAACAACAACAAATACTACTACTACTACTACTACTACTACTACTACTACTACTACTACTGCCGCCACTACTACTACTGCTACTGCTACTGCTACTGCTACTGCTACTGCTACTGCTACTGCTACTGCTACTGCTACTG